TGGCTAAGAAAAACTATGAAACTTACGTGTTTTTTCATTTCAAATTCAGTAAAGTTTTTGGATATGACCACAAGGCAAAAGGTGTTCAGTTTATTTTTCTACATAACTTATTGTTTTTCCAAAATATTTTGATTTTTTTTTTTCATGGCAGCGGCCTCGGCCCCGTGTGGCTGCCTCCGGGGGGGGGATTCATAGCACGTGCTTTCTCCTCAACACACCATTCTACTGTAACCCAAACTAAGTCGAAATGCTCACGAGTCTCTTTCCCCTTCTTCACATAGATTCTGAGGTCCTGAATAGTTCCCTTAGCAAACTTGATGAGAACCACGAAAAATCTTCTTGCCCGAAACCAACAATACTGACATACTGATAATGAAAAGCATCGTTAAAGAAGATCCTGTTGAGATCAGTCAGGACCGATTAACTGAGAGGAAATGAAGTAGTGGTACTCAGGTGCTAAGAAAAGTATCAGAGCTGAGCTAACTGATGGAGAACTCAGGTCAAGTGATCAAAGAGATGTTGACGATGACTACTCGAGCTTATAGGTCTCTAATGAAAACAGTGATCGAGTGATTTGAGAACTGATTGAAAATGATTGAATGTCAATTAGCTTCGGTTACGGATAACTGACGATGTATTAGATAATTAGAAGCTGTTGAGTAACTTGTCACTAATTGTTGACGACTGATAGCTGGAAATAGAGAAAAAATATGGATTACTGGATGGTACTTGCTCAAAAATTCACTGATAAAATCTTTGAGAGAAAAGAGTCCGAAAGCTTTCACATTCACCCGACCTTCCCATGACCTACTCGATGGTCTCTAGAGATGAGCCAGTGCTGTGCAGTTTGGCATCTATCGTGAAAATAGAAAACATATTCAATATACTTTTTCTCCCCATTTATCCGAACAACACACTCTCTCAGGGTTAGTTTATGAAACTTTATGTCTTGGGCAATTTCCCCTCCCATCCCTCATACTTGTCCTTATTGATCTTACATCTCATCTAAAAAATCTCTTCATCCCTTATAATCTCCTTTTCTGCTCCAAGGTCCGGGCTTTGAGAAGAGGAAGGAAGGAGGAGGAAACCGCCAGTAACCTGATAGGTTATTTCAACTTATTTGCAAATAAAGGGAACCTGTTGTTTTCAGGCTCTGAATTATCAGCACTTGCTTAGAATAGAAACCGAAAACTCTCACTGTGCAGATCTGTCTCCCTGACGACCTCGCCTTTTAGATCTTCCACTTCGTCTCCGTAGAGAGTGTGGGGTATCACCACTACGCTTTTACTTACCATAACTTTTCTCCCTCTTCCTCTGCAGCAACTCTCGGGTAAGATTAATTAGAAAGGATGTTATATTGAAAAAAAAAAAAAAAAAAAAAAAAGGATGTATGAGGGATTGCTTTTGTTAGAGGCCTTGATTCGCTATTAAAAGCTCACTGTAAACCGTAAACGACCTCACTGCTGGGACACTCACTGCTATTAATATGCTATCAAATATTCATGACAAGAATTAGGCGGTTAATAGACTGTCGCTAAAGTTCACTCCAAACTTGAATAGCCTGTTTTAGCTCCAACAAAAATAAAACCGCTCCTAAGAATCATGATACACACGCTTGCTGCCAAGACCCTCCGCAACCAATGTGTTGCTAACTTGAAGGTTTGCAACAAATGGACTACTTCTACCAAGAATCAGCAATCAAATTACTACCGAGAAGCACCACGAGCTTTTTCCACTAAAGTCTTTGAGCGTTCGGGATCTAAGAAAAATCATATCATCGTCCAAACGGACTTTCCTTAGACTTTGTCGCAGGAGTCGGTAATACACGGCACAAGATAAAATTTTCAGTCAGATGTCCTTCTCACTCTCTGCGCAGGGTGCCACGTAAAACCTGAACAGTAATGGACAGGAGAATAAAACTACTGACTGCCATAAAAATAAAAAGAAAATAAAAATAAAAAAAGGACAGACTGATTGTGCTCTTGTTTAAAAAAAGAGAAACTACGGCGCAGTCAAGGTTTCTGAGTTTGAAAATTGAAAATGCACTTTCAGGCAGAAGGCCTGAAAATGTCGAATCTATACAAGCTAGGTTTTGGGTCCAGTAGGGTCACATGGGGTTGTGTTATGTTGGGGGAATGCCTGAAGTGCATTTTCAAACTGTTTTCCTGACTGCGTCATAGTTAACCTTTGACAAAAAAAAAAAAAAAAAAAAAAAAACATGGTGAGTTGTGCTCGGGGGAATCCAGGGGAAGACCAGTGGTAGAAAAAAAAATGCACTCAAAACTTAATCATGCCCTCTGGAATCGAAATGGGAGTGTTGAGGGTTTTCTCTGAGTTTCGCTGTGTCTACATATCTTCTTGTGTGCTCTTCTTCTTCTTCTTCTTCTTCTTCTTCTTCTTCTTCTTCTGCCTAGACTATTACTCTCATCCCAATTACTCCCTATCTTCAAATACTGTCACACGACACCCTCTGGGAGTAGGCATTGAATCAGAAAGCTGCAGAAAGCGAGAAGATTAACTTCGTCCCCCGAATAGAACTTGAACACACGGTAATTATCGCCATATCTAGACTGAAAGCTGTGCTGAATGCACCTATAATTACGGTACGTTCTATTCGGGGAAGACGGCAGCATTGCAGTGCGCCCCTGCACAATGATGCAATCCACATACCCAAGAATGGGAGTGAAGACTTACCATACCACAAAAAAGCTTAGGCCCTTTTGGATTGTATATGTCCACAAATGCAGCCATATTCATTCACACCGGTCGTACTCTGAGCATGCCATGAAGCTCAGGAACTCCGAATCTGCAAAAGGCTCTTCTTTTTGTGTGTGTGTGTGTGTGTGTTTGTGTGTGCGTTTGTTTTCTTCACTGACAAGTTGTGACAACACCATGCAAAACTTGAGCGCATCAACAAAAAACAGTTACTTGGATGCAACTGGCGGAGGCAAGTCACCAAGTCCCAAGAAGAAATTCAAATTCAAATTCAAATTCAAATTCAATTTCAATTTCAATTTTGTCAGGGCTGCGCTGTTCCCACATGACATGGGCAACTTGAAGGGGTTATTAGACAGTTGGCAGAAATTAAGGGGTCGAAGGTGGTTCTGTCAATTTGAAAGTGGCTATTTAAGTGCTGAGTAACTGGAAAAAAAAAAAAAAAAAACAGACCTGAACGCTCCGTCCTTTCTTCCGCGCCACGAAGATAGCAGTTGGTTGGTATGTGAGGTGGGAGGGAGCGTTAATGGAAAAGGACGCACAGTGGCCTCCGTTGGGGTGCCGCCCCGCATTAGGGGCTGTACACTGTCTGGTTAGGTAGGATAGAAGGTACTAGACTACCCGTCGTCACCCATGGCAAAAAGAACGCCCGGGCATTATAACTGTGCATCTGGACTGAAAATTGCACCGAGTCCAGCCATAATGACCGGGCATTTCATTCCAGTGAAGAGGGTATTACAGAAGTTCCTAGCCTCTTGAACCCGTGGCCAAGTCCCACTTACTCGAATTACTGATTTCTGACCGTTGATTCTGAAGATCAACGACCAGAAATAAAGAATTCAGCCCAGTGGGACTTGGCCCCCGGCGCTCCACACTCTTGGATCCTTACGGATACAAGGCGGATGAATCATAGCAGGTGGTAGGTGGTAGTCTAAGAGGTGGTAGTAGTAGTAGTAGTAGTAGTAGTAGTAGTAGGGGCCTCAGTCCACTATCGAGATGAGCAAAACGAGAGTGAATCTTCCGCTAGAACTTGCAAAGATACACCGCGGCCATGATTTTTGTCTTTTGTGCATGTCGAGAGTAGTGGGGCGAGGCCCTAGGCTAGTGTAGGAATTCAGATTAGAGGGCAGCCTTCGAACTGTGGCATCTCAGAAAACAGACCCACAGGCCTGTGTGCCTGCGAGCTAACTCTGGGTGTAATGTTGAGGCCCCGGCCTCGGAGCCTGTTGTTGTTGTTGTTGTTGTTTTCCTTCCTCAGAAACTGTTTATGAAATGGAAATTTGAATTTTGATAAAAAAATAAATAAAAAAACTTGAGCACATCCCAAAAAAACAAACAAACAACCAAACAAACAAACAAACAAACAAGCAAAACTCGAGCATATCATTCGGTAACCCCACTCATGTGCCTGGCTGCATAATAGACACAATTATTAAAAAAAAAAGAAAGACAGTAACGTACGATGTAACTATTAGTGACCTATGCTTCACCCGTCAAGTCCGTCAACTGTTCATAAATCAGAAATCAACCTCCTGAGTTCAAAACTTTAATCCTAGTTCAAAACTTCAAATCCTAATGGCATCAGACGATTAAAATAACTTTGAATTACCTGCACCCGGTCACTTCACCGATGATGGTACCCTCGAGGCCGTCGACACGTTATTGGGAAAAAAAAAAAAAAAAACCTGCTCATGTGACTGAATCTTACACGTATGAAATTAAGTTAAAGTCCGCACGAAATCAGATAGATACAATAGTACTAAGAGCTACTTTCTCTTGCTGCCCCCCCGCGCCCCGCCCGCCCACCCAAACCCCCCCAAAAAAAACA